GGGGCCCGGGGCCAGCGGCCCGCGCGGACGCTGCGGCCGGAAGCCCACGCGAGGGTCGGTATGAGGGGCCGTGGGGGCGCTGCGTAGAGTAGGGCGGGCCTCGGAGGGTCCGCGGCGGTTGCCTTCAGCCACTATCCGGACCCCCTCATCCTCTCCAACCGAGGGTCAAGGAAGAGGCCGATGGCACCCTCGGCCAGCGGTTGTGAGAACAGCGTAATCCATCAGCCATCGCGGGGGAACCGGAGGGAGAAGGAGCGCCTCCCGCCCGCCGTCGCCAGACACCACAGGGGGTGCTTCCGGAATCCCCGGGGCTGAGCGCCTCCGCCTCCAGGTGTGGCGTGGAGCCCAGGTTGGCACCCCCTGGGAGCTTCCTGAGATGGCTGTGTCAAGTGCACCCAGGATTTTGTAGAAAGCACTTGGCAGCCCTACTCCGTCTGACAATGAGAACAACAGCTTCTGTTTAACAGGTGTTCCCTTTATGCTGTCGCTGCCAGGAAAGGAAACGTAGAGCCAGGTTCAGCGCCCTACAATGTAATGTCAGAGGCTCATTCCAAACCCCGGTCGCGCTTTTGCCCTCTGATCCCATGATGCTTATTCTGTGCTTACCCACTGTCCGTTTCCAAGTTGTGTTCCCGAGCCATTCGTTATCTCTGGAGTTCAAGCAAAATCTCTGCAGAGCTCAGCTGATCAGCTGAGAAAGGAGACCAGGTGGTGCTGTGGAATAGATGTTGGGCGGTCCTTGAAATCTAACAGCTGCTCCCTGTAAAGATTTACAGCCCCAGAAACCCTATGTAGGTAGGGTTGGTCAGAATGGACTCACTGGCTTTGGGTTTGGGATTAGTTGAAAAAGGAGAGAGGGCACCCTGGAACTGGCTGGAGTTCCTGCCCAGGGCAGCTGATGGGTGTGAAATGGTTTTGTTGTTGGCTTTAGAGTTCAGGTTGAGAAGGAGATGGAAAGAAACTGATGGCTGGAGAGCAGTAAGCCCAGGGTTTAAGGACTTATTCTTGAGCGTAACCCTGGAGCTCTCAAAGCAAAACCAAACCCACTGACATCGAATCCATTTCGACTTATAGAACAGAATAGAATTGTCCCTTTGGACTTCTGAAACTGAATTTGGAAGCATTGGGTTTGAATCTCTTGATTTTCTGGTTAGTAGCTCAATACATAAACCAGGGTTTTTTCCCAAGGAAAAAAAATACTACCAAAATAATAAATTCAGTTGTTATCACTAACATAGCTGCACTTGTGTCCAGACTGGGGTCCGGGGATATTGGGTTATATCAAAATATATGAGATTACCTAAGAGACATTGTAAAGAGATACAAGCATGGAAGTACAAGGGATGGGGTGGTTCACCGTGATCCAGAACCAGGGCAGGCTTCCTCGAGGAGGTATCATTTGAACTGAGTCTTTGTTGAGAAGGACAGAACTCGGCAGTCTGAGGAGGAGAGAGCGCGTGCACAAGTTTAAAGACAAATGGTTCCAGGATGCCTGAGCTCATCGAGATGGAGACACAGATATTCATGAGAAAAGGAATGACAATTGGGAGTAGACCAGGAACACAATGTTCTTAATAGGCTAAGGGCTTTTGATGTTTCACCTTCCACCTGCCTTAATTTCCCGGTGCTGATGTAACAAACATCAATCGAGTGACTTTATAGAACAGAAATTTATTTTCTCTCCGTTCTGGAGGCTAGAAGTCCGAATTCTGACTCTAAGGAAAGACTGCCCCTGTCCTCCTTAGGTGAAGATCTTCGGCTTCGGAATCCCTGGATGTCTCTAGATGACCCTGGTGATCTTCACATGGATCACTCCCTTCCCCTCCACAACCACCAACGTTTGTACCTGCCTCTGAACCTATGTGTAGTAAATTACACATTGAACTGCTAATCACAGGTCAGCAGTTCAAACCTACCTGCTGCTCTTCGAGAGAAAGATGAGGCTTTTTACGCCTGTGACAGCCTGGGAACCCCACAAAGGAAGTTCTCTGTCCTGTAATGTTGCTGAGTCAGAATTGACTCAATAACAATGAGGTTTTTTTGGTCTCTGGCTAATCTAGAACCCTGGTGACATATTGGTTACTCATTGGGCTGCTAACAGCATTGTCAGAAGTCCAAAACCACCAACCACTCTGGAGGAAAGATGAGGCTGCTTCTGTAAAGAGTTAGTCTTGGAAACCCAGACGGGAAGTTCTATCCGTCCTACAGAATTCCAATGAGTTGGAATCTAATCCACATAATAGCGTTGAGTTTTTTGGTTGGTAGTGGTGGTGTCTAACTTGCCCTCTTAATAGCTCAAAGGTGATTATGCTTAAAACACAACATGTGGAATTATTAGCACAAAAAATAATACCCTATTTTCAAATGGGAGCAAATCCAAAGGTATATTAATTAGCTTCTAGTTGACTCATGGTGATCCCATGTTTGCAAAGACCTCTGTTGGCTTTTCAAGACTGTGACCTTTCAGAATCAGATCCCTAGACTTGTCTTCCAAGGCATCTTTGGGTAAGTTGGAACTGTCAGCACTAGTGGTCGAGCATTGACACATTTCACCATTCAGGGATTCTATTCACAGGTATTGTAAATGGATACCATCGAGTAGGTCCTGGTTCTTAGAAACCTTATAGATAACAGAATAAAATGTTCCCCAGTCCTGCACTGTCTTCAGCACTTACTATGTTTGAGCCCATTGGTGCAGGCACTGTCTTAATCCATCTCTCTTGAATGTCAGTGTACTGCATTGGACAAATCTGGAGCCAGGGTACTCTTTAACATCTTAAAAAGTAGAGGTGTCACTGACGATTGAAGTCACCAGACCCAAGCCTTGATCATTTAAATTGCCTCCTATTCATGTAAAAGCTGGGCCATGGAAAAAGAAGACCAAAGAACTCACACATTCAAATTAGTAAAGACTAGTAAATATACCATGAGCCAATGAGCAAATTGGTTTTAGAGGAAGTAAGCCAGATGTAGCTTAGTGAGACAACTTCTTGCTCTCAACCTGTCATTAGGAGAGATTCGTATCTTGAGGGAAAACCCCACAGGTATGTTGTAGGTGTCATGCAGCCAATTCCAACTCATAATACTGTGTACAACAGAACAAAATCCTGCCTGGTCCTGCACCATCCTCACAATTAAGCTTAAACCCATTGTTGCAGCCATTTTGTCAGTCCATCTCATGAAAAGCCTTCCTCTTTTGCACTGACTAAGAATGATGTCCTTTTCTAAAGCCCAGGCCCTTTTCTGTTAAAAACAAACTCACTGCCATCAAGTTGATTTCTACTCTTGGATGTTAACTGCAAGTTCAACCGTTCAAACCTACAAGCCACTCCATGAGGCAAAGATGAGGCTTTCTGCTCCCATAATGATTTATCCCCTCAGAAACCCACTAGGCAATTCTACCGGCCCTTTTGGG